TTAGATTATCAACCTTGGAGAAACTATTTTACCTAGTATGAATATCAAGGCAATTAATGAAGAATGGTTTTATGATGACATAACAACAAGAGGAGTTTCGTTTGATGGGTTTCTTCCACAAGCGTGCAAGACGCCTTTAGGAAATATACCTTTAGGAAATACGCCGGAATTCGAGCTGATTCATACACCAGAGAAAATGGCAGATTTCCAGAACAACGATTGGTATCGCAAGAATTGGAAATTAGGAGACACAATGTTGACCTTCTCCCCTCTGCAACCGGATAAACATATATTGGTTGATGCTTATCGAAAGGAGATGGCTAAAATCTTGTCTTGTCCTTGTGATTCAAAATGTTGTAAACATGATGCTTCGTGTGGTGCTTGGCCTACCCGGGGATCTTGCCGAGGGCTGAGCACTCTTTGCGAAGATGTGTCTCGTTATGGGGATGTGTTGACCGGCAGTAACGTCTTGGACGATGGGAAAATTTATGATGTCAAAAAGGAAATTTATCGTTTAACAGACCGTGTATTTGCTGCACTGGCGAAATGTTATGAAGTTGATGCAAGCGGAACTTTTGCCATACTTGACGAACTTTACAGGAGGGAAATAATTTCGTCGGAAGCAAGAGATAATTTTGCAAGTGCTGCGGCCATTGCAATCAAGCTAAGAATAAGTACGTACCTTAAAGCTGGAAAACAAGGGGAACAGCTCATGGCAAGTTCAAACGAAGAAACAGGGAAGTTTACTTCTGTTTACTATATGCCAAATAATGAAGAACTGTTTCACTTTTTCTTTATTGCCATTCCTTTGTATGAAGAGTTACAAAAGTTCAAGGCAGCCGGAAACATACCGCCGTCGCTTACACACAGTTCATTCTATGACGATTCTGACGTCACGATGGGTCATATATATTGTCGCTTGTTAAACTACGACGAAGCTCTAAAATGCTACGACCGTACTCTTCAATTGGATTCAGAAAACCTGAGTATTGAAATTCGTCGAATAAGTATTGCACTTTGTATTACAAAGGACACAGAAGAGATGGATAAGATTCGAGAAAATTTGGATAACTTGTTGTGTAAGATAGACCAAAGTTGGTCCAAGCCGCATCGGGAAACCACAACATTTGTCAATCGCTTGGATTTCGAGGAAATGCGGCAATTGCTAGAAGTATTGTCTTTGGCTTCCTTGTTTCTTGATTGTCCCAAATATTCTGAATTGGCACGAAACATTCTGTTCCAAGATAGCACTGTAAGGGAATACAGTGGTGGAAGAACTGATGAATTTGCCTTTATGGTAATCTCGATGGTACCCGGGGGTTCTGATCAGCAGGACCTAACTGACAGGGTAACTTCTGAAATGCCATCTTTAATTGACGAAGAAGGTGTGAGCACTAAAAGTATTCGGTGGTTAAATATGCTTGGTGAGTTTCTATTTAAAATGCATAAACCTGACAAGGCTTATCGTTGTTTTCAAAGAGCATTGAGTATGGAGCGCCTCCTTTACCAAACCAAACCAAACATGAATATGATGACATCTTTATATTCTCTTGGGACGACGTCATTCTACTTGTCGATGTATAACGAAAGCAAGTTTTACTTCGAATCGTTTGTGCGACTATTTGAATCATTAGGTAGACCTAGCGTTGGATTAATAGACGTTAAGATAGCTTATTGGCACTTGGCGATGGTGAGCCAGGAATTGGGAAATTCTGCGGAGGAATGTGTGTGTTACGTCGAGAAAGGTTTAAAGGCAACCACAGGAAGCCAAAATGATACAGAATTATGTTTAGATTGTGTCCTCCATTGTCAGTTAGCGATTGCATGGCATACTCAACACAACCAAGAGCAAGCTTGGAAGTCTGCTTTGGAAGGAAAAGCTTGCTTGAGAAAAATTGTTGGAGTAAATAAAAGGGCAAGTACGACTTGTGCCGTTGCTGAGAAGTTGGCTAAAATACAGAAAGTAAACGAAGGAATTGAAATATTGCAGGAAGAAGTTCAAAAACTGACTTCCCAGTTTCAAACGGAAGAAAAGGCCTCGTGTCTAATGAAGCTTGGTGAAATTTGTTTTGAGCAAGGTTTGGCATCAGATGCTGAGAATTATTACAAACAAGCGCTAGAGGTTTTGGTTGAAATGCAGGATAATGAAGATAGTTTTGACATCTTGGAGTGTAATATTGGCATTTCAAAAGCCATTATGATGGATAACAGAGTGTCTGAAGCAAAAATAGCTTTGAATCAAGCTTTCATTTTAACCAAAAAATTGCATGCAAGTTTTCAAAAAATGAATCTTTTTTGGGATATGGGAACATTTTGCGAAAATCGTGGTTACATCAGTTGTGCTCGACAATGGTTTGATGAAGGCTTAAGATCGTACACAGAGCTATCGAACGTCGCCAAAAAAAACAAAAAAACCGCCTTTTTAGAGGTTGGATTAGAGCTGCAGGTTGGAAAGTTGGCTAAGAAGGCTTGTGCTATTGACTCAGTCAACCCTGAAATTGCGATGCAGGTTCAGCGAAGTTATTATGATCGCGCGGCTGAAACATTACGGCAACATGTACTTACCGAACAAGTTGACTCGATGACTCTTAACATGTTTTTATTAGTTGCTGTGGAGTACAGGTCAGTAGACGAAAGTGAAGCGATAAGACTTTTGTTGCAAGCTTTGGATGTTAGTGAAAAAGTTTACGGAAAAAATAAATCAAATGAGATGGTCATCAATATATTTAAAGAGCTTTCTCGCACCTACTTCGATACAGAAGATTTGAAAGCCTGTATAAAATATTCAGAGCTTCTAATAAAGATGAAGATGGATCTGCATTTATCAAACCCTTTTCTTGAACTTATTTCCGAGAATTTGATGATGTTGGCCTTTTCATCCTTGCAATATTCCGTTAGTATTGATACTGTCCAACGTGCTTACGAATTTCTTTTATCTGCTCAGAAGGACAAGGCTTCAACAGACAATACCGCAACTGCCAGATGTTTTACCTGTCTAGGTATATTATTCTACACTTTAGGTGACTTGAAAAAAGCCGAGACTTCAATCGAGGTGGCAAGTCAGTTATTTAGCGAAATTCAGGAAAGTGTTGAAAGAAAAAAACTACCGTTCGAAGCAACTTGCGACATCATGAAAGTAATATTATCATCGAAGAAGATATTACCGTTAGATAAGAAAAAACTTTACGAATCTGTTTGGGAAGCATTTGTTGCTTTGCGGCGAGAAGCTACCTTGGCTGAAGACTCAAAAACTTTGGAGAACTGTAGCAATGGTCGAGAAAATGTACAATTGTTCATTCCAAGTCCCGATGATGTGAAGCGTCGAGAAATTGACTTTTCAGATCTGACTGTAGAAGGAAAACAACTTGTACTGCGTACTCACTTAGACGCTCTTGAGTATAAGCGGAGGAAAGGCAATGTCCATCAGGCTGCAAAAATACACACTTCTGTTGAAGCTGATGAGTTATCTTTGTATGAAAACTGTCCCTATGATGCTGTTGAAAAGCTAATCAGCGACGCGATCAGAGCAAAAGAAGACAATGGACCTAGTAGTGGTATTAGATCTTTCGATCTTGCTTTACAGCTGGCATCTACCTGGAAACAAAAGACCAAGATTCTTAAATTGCGTGCGGAATGTTATTTATCAAGGGACGATTTCCGAACCGCTGCAATTAATTTCAATGAAGCTGTTCGCGTTTATTCTAACAGGACAGTAGAAAATCGTGATGACCTGTGTGAATATTCAAAAGTGGCAATTGGTTTAATAAAAACCGAAATGCTTTGCCAGAATGTAGCAGGTGCATGGCATAGATATCGCGAGGCAATGAAACTGGTGTCTCATCATGAACATGAACTTCTGCAAGTGATAGAGTTGCATTACCTTGGAGCAAAGTGCTTGTATATTTTGTCAAAAAATGTAGAAAGTAAAGATGATGAGCTTGCCAAAGTATGCTTTTTGTGTCAACAAGCTCTTTTGCTCCACAACGAACACGAACAAATGAGAGAAACCTTGGAACTTGAAGAACTTAAGATTTTGGTTTGTGAAGTGTGTCTGCTGTTCGTGGCCGTTTTACGAAAGTTACATGAAGAAGAAAAAGCAGATACAATTTTGGAAGGGGTGGCGGAACATTTAATAAATGGCGCCGACCAACTTGAATCTGAACCTGCATTTCGAAAAATATTTCCAAAATCATTTCGTCGCCTATTTTCAGATATTGGTCGAGTGTTAGTTGAGCGTGATGAAATAAAGCAATCTATAACTTGGCTGAGTAAGGCACTCGGGGTGTTTTTCTCGGCTGCTCTTCCCGATATGTTGTCATTTTATGAAGAATTACTTCCTTTGCTGCAGGCAATAACGGTTACTAAATCCAGTGATGCTAGTCACGAAAGTCGCTCTCCATTTCAACAAGCTCTTGATATGTGCAAAGACGTGTTGGTAGAGCACGGCAATGATTTAAACAACATCTACGAGTTTTTAAAAACTTTGGCAAGTCTCTACATGGGCCTTGGGCGCACTGAAGAAGCAATTGTTGTAGCAGAAACTGGTTTGGAAATATGCCATTTGATGGGGGATAACAATGTCACTGATCGAATAAACATTCGCGGCAGAATGCTACTTTATCTGGCCCAAATGCACCAACTAAATTCAACTAACTCGGCCTTTGATAGAAATAAGGAGCTAAATCTTGCAGAACGGTATTACCTTACCGATCAAGACTCGGAATTTGTACTTCAAAAGAATCTAAGCTACGCCAACTTTCTATGTGGACAAAAGCGTTTTGCGGAGGCTGATGCTGTGCTTCAGGATATGAGCAATTTAGGCAAAGAATTGTCGGATAAGTCTGTGTATTGTGCCTATTTTTCACGTGTCTTTTATGGTCTCGGCATACAGAAAAGCGTCCAAGTTGACGGCGAGCTATTGTCAACTGTTGAACATTGTATGTACAGCACAATGGTCCGAGTGTTTGTTGGATTGGGAAAGAGAAGAGAAGCAGTAGCTGCGTGCGAGAAGTTGACAGCTAACCCAGTAGTTGTTCATGATTCAATTCACGGGAAACGTCCTTCCAGTATCCCATACCTTATCGAAGCCTGTCATCGCGAGTTGTTGTCTCTTTTGAGTGACGAAGACCAAAAACAACTTCAGAATTGTGAATTTCCGTTATCTCCAGCAAATATTTTCAAATTGTATTACATGCTTAACCAATACTCCTTGGCACTGAAATACTACACGAACGAGACACAATCACCCGACTTGATCGAAATGAAAATTACATGCTTGCGCTTAGCTGGAAATGAGTTAGTGGAAATGGATAGAGGAAAAGAATCACTTTCATACTTCACGCAATTTCTTGCAATGCTTCAAACTAAAGAGGGATTTCTGGACAAGCCCTTTCATGTTCAATGCGCAACCTTTGCAGGATATTCTTCTGCAAATCAATATTATATTTTCCGCTCTTTGGGACGAATAATGGGGCGCGAAAGAGGGAATCTTGATGGTGCAATTCAGTGTTATGAACGATGCCTTGAGCTGGATGAAGATTTGATTCTTGACCAAAGCCTTGTGGCAGTCCTGGCTGGGCTTTATCAATCGAAAGCGTTAACAGTTGACATAGAAAACCAAGATTCCTGCAAACGACAGATGAACCGTGCTCTTGATTTGTTCCAGAAGCTGTTTCAAAAGACTGCCGAATTGACACCATTTGTAGAATACTCGTTTGGGTCACTTTTGTTGAAATTGGAACGATATCATGAAGCTGTTGAACATTTTGAAAATGTTATTAAATGGGCAAGTAACATAGTTGTGGTGAATTGTACGGACGTAGACAAGCCGTTGTTCGACGTTTACCTTCGTTGTGAAATTGAAGTTAGAGGCAGTATTGACATCCCACTGAGAGTCCAAGCTTCCTACGAGTTAATTTTAACGTATATGAAATTGAATGAAATGGGAAAAGCCCAAGAAGTTGCGCTTCGATTGGAGGATTATGTTGACATTTTTAAACGCATTCCGGACACTTCTCTGTTTTCTCTGTTTCTGTCTATTGTAGGATATGCCAACAAACTAATTGGAAACATCGAAAAAGCCGCGGAGATATTCGTTTCGGCATTGGAGATCATCCCGGGACATTTATGCAGCACAATGGTCCGAGTGTTTGTTGAAATGGGAAAGAAAAGAGAAGCAGTAGCTGCGTGCGAGAAGCTGACAGCTAACCCAGTAGTTGTTCATGATGCAATTGACGGGAAACGTCCTTCCATTACCCCATACCTTATCGAAGCCTGTCATCGCGAGTTGTTGTCGCTTTTGAGTGACGAAGACCAAAAGCAACTTCAGAATTCTGAATTTCCGTTATCTCCAGCAAATATATTCAAATTGTATTACATGCTTAACGAATACACCTTGGCACTAAAATACTACACGAACGAGACGAAATCAGCCGACTTGATGGAAATGAAAATTTCATGCTTGTACTTAGCTGGAAATGAATTAGTGGAAATGGATAGAGGAGATGAATCACATTCATACTTCACGCAATTTCTTGCATTGCTTCAAACTAAAGAGGGATTTCTCGACAAGCCCTTTCATATTCAATGCGCAATCCTTGCAAGATATTATTTTGCAAATCAATATTACATTTTCCGCTTGTTGGGACGAATAATGGCATGCGAAAGAGGGAATCTTGGTGGTGCAATTCAGTGTTATGAACGATGCCTTGAGCTGGATGAAGATTTGAGCCTTGACCAAAACTTTGTGGCAACCCTGGCTGATCTTTATCAATCAAAAGCCTTAACATGTGACATAGAAAACCATGATTCCTGCAAACGACAGATGAACCTTGCTTTTAATTTGTTCCAGAAGCTGTTTCAAAAGACTACCGAATTGACACCATTTGTAGAATGCTCGTTTGGATCACTTTTGTTGAAATTGGAACGATATCATGAAGCTGTTGAACATTTTGAAAATGTTATTAAAAGAGCGGGTGACTTATCTATGGGCTGTACGGACGTAGCCAAGCCGTTGTTCGACGTTTACCTTCGTCGTGAAATTGAAGCTAGAGGCTGTATTACCATCCCATTGAAATTCCAAGCTTTCTACGAGTTAATTTTAACGTATATGAAATTGAATGAAGTGAGAAAAGCCCAAGAAGTTGCTCTTCAATTGGAGAAGTACGTTGAACTTTTTCAATCAACTCCAGAGTTTCCTCTGGCTCTGTCTACTGTAGGATATGCCAACAAACTAATTGGAAACAAAGAAAAAGCCGCGGAGATATTCGTTTCTGTGTTGGAAATCAACCCGGGACATTTATGCAGCACAATGGTCCGAGTGTTTGTTGAAATGGGAAAGAAAAGAGAAGCAGTAGCTGCGTGCGAGAAGCTGACAACCAACCCAGTAGTTGCTCATGATGCAAATCGCGAGAAACGTCCTTCCAGTATCCCAAACCTTATCGAAGCCTGTCATCGCGAGTTGTTGTCTCTTTTAAGTGATGAAGACCGAAAGCAACTTCAGAATTGTGAACTTCCGTTATCTCCAGCAAATATTTTCAAATTGTATTACATGCTTAACGAATACACTTTGGCACTAAAATACTACACAAACGAGACGCAATCACCCGAGATGATCGAAATGTGCAGGACAATGTTTCGAGTGTTTGTTGAAATGGGAAAGAAAAGAGAAGCAGTCGCTGCGTGCGAGAAGCTGACAACCAACCCAGTAGTTGTTCATCATGCAATTGACGGGAAACGTCCTTCCAGTATCCCATACCTTATCGAAGCCTGTCATCGCGAGTTGTTGTCTCTTTTGTGTGATGAAGACCGAAAGCAACTTCAATTGCAAAGTTGTGAACTTCCGTTATCTCCAGCAAATATTTTCAAATTGTATTACATGCTTAACGAATACACCTTGGCACTAAAATACTACACGAACAAGACGCAATCACCCGACTTGATCGAAATGAAAATTTCATGCTTGCGCTTAGCTGGAAATGAATTAGTGGAAATGGATAGAGGAAATGAATCACAGTTATACTTTTTCGGATTTCTTAGAATGCTTCAAACTAAAGAGGGATTTCTGGACAAGCCCTTTCGTGTTCAATGCGCATCGCTTGCAGGATTTTCTTATGCAAGTCAATATTACATTTTCCGCTCGTTGGGAGAGATAATGGCAGGCGAAAGAGGGAATCTCGGTGGTGCAATTCAGTGTTATGAACGATGCCTTGAATTGGATGAAGATTTGACCCTTGACCAAGACCTTGTGGCAAACCTGGCTGAACTTTATCAAGTAAAAGCGTTAACCGGTGACATAAAAAACCAAGATTTCTGCAAACGACAGATGAACCTTGCTCTTGATTTGTTTCAGAAGCTGCTTCAAAAGACTGCCGAATTTACACCATTTGTAAAATGTTCGTTTGGGTCGCTCTTGTCGAAATTGGAACGTTATCATGAAGCTATTAAACATTTTGAAAATGTTATTGAAAGAGCAGATGACAAAAAACTTATGGACTATACGGGCGTAGTCAAGCCGTTGTTCGACGTTTACCTTCGTCGTGAAATTGAAGCTAGCGGCAGCATTACTATCCCAGTGAAAGTCCACGCTTTCTACAAGTTAATTTTAATGTATATGAAATTGAATAAAGTGGGAAAAGCCCAAGAAGTTGCGCTTCGATTGGAGAATTATGTTGAACGTTTTCAATGCACTCCAAATAGTTATCTGGCTCTGTCTATTGTAGGATATGCCAACAAACTAATTGGAAACAAAGAAAAAGCCGCGGAGATATTTGTTTCGGTATTGGAGATCGTCCCGGGACATTTATGCAGCACAATGGTCCTGGTGTTTGTTGAAATGGAAAAGAAAAGAGAAGCAGTAGCTGCGTGCGAGAAGCTGACAGCCAACCCAGTAATTGTTCATGATGCAATTGACGAGAAACGTCCTTCCAGATACCTTATTGAGGCCTGTCATCGCGAGTTGTTTTCGCTTTTGAGTGACGAAGACAAAAAAACTCTTCAGAATTGTGAATTTCCGTTATCTCCAGCAAATATTTTCAAATTGTATTACATGCTTAACGAATATACTTTGGCACTAAAACACTACACGAACGAGACGCAATTACCCGAGATGAGCGAAATGTGTAGGACAATGTTCCGAGTGTTTGTTGAAATGGGAAAGAAAAGAGAAGCAGTCGCTGCGTGCGAGAAGCTGACAGCTAGCCCTGTAGTTGTTCATGATGCAATTGATGGGAAACGTCCTTCCATTACCCCATACCTTATCGAAGCCTGTCATCGAGAGTTGTTGTCTCTTTTAAGTGACGAAGACCAAAAACAACTCCAGAATTGTGAATTTCCGTTATCTCCAGCAAATATATTCAAATTGTATTACATGCTTAACGAATACACCTTGGCACTGAATTACTACACAATCGAGACGCAATCACCCGACTTGATCGAAATGAAAATTTCATGCTTGCGTTTAGCTGGAAATGAGTTAGTGGAAATGGATAGAGGAAATGAATCACTTTTATACTTCATGCAATTTCTAAGAATGCTTCAAACCAAAGAGGGATTTCTCGACAAGCCCTTTCATACCCAATGCGCAACTCTTGCAGGGTACTCTTTTGCGAATCAATATTACATTTTCCGCTCGTTGGGACGAATAATGGGGCGCGAAAGAGGGAATCTTGATGGTGCAATTCAGTGTTATGAACGATGCCTTGAGCTGGATGAAGATTTGAGCCTTGACCAAAGCCTTGTGGCAACTCTGGCTGAGCTTTATCAGTCAAAAGCGTTAACAGTTGACATAGAAAACCAAGATTCTTGCAAACGACAGATTAGCCTTGCTCTTGATTTGTTTCAGAAGCTGCTTCAAAAGACTGCCGAATTGACACCATTTGTAGAATGCTCGTTCGGGTCACTTTTGTCGAAATTGGGACGTTATCATGAAGCTGTTGAACATTTTGAAAATGTTATTAAAAGAACGGATTACTCATTCATGGGCTCTAAGATAGGGGGCGTATTCAAGCCGTTGTTCGACGTTTACCTTCGTCGTGAACTTGAAGCTAGAGGCAGCATTACCATCCCAGTGAAAGTCCAAGCTTTCTACGAGTTAATTTTAATGTATATGAAATTGAATGAAGTGGAAAAAGCCCAAGAAGTTGCGCTTCGATTGGAGAATTATGTTGAACTTTTTGAAAGCACTCCAGAGATTTCTCTGTGTCTTTCTATTGTAGGATATGCCAACAAACTAATTGGAAACAAAGAAAAAGCCGCGGAGATATTTGTTTCGGCATTGGAGATCATCCCGGGACATTTATGCAGCATAATGGTCCGAGTGTTTGTTGAAATGGGAAAGAAAAGAGAAGCAGTAGCTGCGTGCGAGAAGCTGACAGCCAACACAGTAGTTGCTCATGATGCAATTGACGAGAAACGTCCTTCCATTACCCCATACCTTATCGAAGCCTGTCATCGCGAATTGTTGTCTCTTTTGAGTGACGAAGACCAAAAGCAACTTCAGAATTGTGAATTTCCGTTATCTCCAGAAAATATTTTCAAATTGTATTACATACTTAACCAATACACCTTGGCATTGAAATGCTACACAAATGAGATGAAATCACCCGACTTGATCGAAATGAAAATTTCATGCTTGCGCTTAGCTGGAAATGAATTAGTGGAAATGGATAGAGGAAAAGAATCAGATTTATACTTCACGCAATTTTTTGCAATGCTTCAAACTAAAGAGGGATTTCTGGACAAGCCCTTTCATACCCAGTGCGCAACCCTTGCAGGATATTCTTTTGCAAATCAATATTACATTTTCCGCTCGTTGGGAGAGATAATGACACGCGAAAGAGGGAATCTTGGTGGTGCAATTCAATGTTATGAACGATGCCTTGAACTGGATGAAGATTTGACCCTTGACCAAAGCCTTGTGGCAGTCCTGGCTGTCCTTTATCAATCAAAAGCGTTAACAGTTGACATAAAAAACCAAGATTCCTGCAAACGACAGATGAACCTTGCTCTTGATTTGTTTCAGAAACTGCTTCAAACGACTGCCGAATTGACACCATTTGTAGAATGCTCGTTTGGGTCACTTTTGTCGAAATTGGAAGGTTATCATGAAGCTGTTGAACATTTTGAAAATGTTATTAAAAGAGCAGATGACGAAGCTTTGGTCTCAGTTATAGTCTATACGGACGTAGACAAGCCGTTGTTCGACGTTTACCTTCGTCGTGAAATTGAAGCTAGTGGCAGTATTACCATCCCAATAAAAGTCCAAGCTTTCTACGAGTTAATTTTAATGTATATGAAATTGAATGAAGTGGGAAAAGCCCAAGAAGTTGCGCTTCGATTGGAGAATTATGTTGAAGGTTTTCAACGCACTCCAAAGACTTATCTGACTCTGTCTATTGTAGGATATGCCAACAAACTAATTGGAAACAAAGAAAAAGCCGCGGAGATATTTGTTTCGGTATTGGAGATCATCCCGGGACATTTATGCAGCACAATGGTCCGAGTGTTTGTTGAAATGGGAAAGAAAAGAGAAGCAGTAGCTGCGTGCGAGAAGCTGACAGCTAACCCAGTAGTTGTTCATGATGCAATTGACGAGAAACGTCCTTCCAGAATCCCATACCTTATCGAAGCCTGTCATCGCGAGTTGTTGTCTCTTTTGAGTGATGAAGACCGAAAACAACTTCAGAGTTGTGAATTTCCGTTATCTCCAACAAATATTTTCAAATTGTATTACATGCTTAACCAATACACCTTGGCACTAAAATACTACACAAACGAGACGGAATCAGCCGACTTGATGGAAATGAAAATTTCATGCTTGCGCTTAGCTGGAAATGAATTAGTACAAATGAATAGAGGAAATGAATCACATTCATACTTCACACAATTTCTTGCAATGCTTCAAACTAAAGAGGGATTTCTGGACAAGCCCTTTCATACCCAGTGTGCAACCCTTGCAGGATATTTTTTTGCAAATCAATATTACATTTTCCGCTCGTTGGGAGAGATAATGGAATGCGAAAGAGGGAATCTCGATGGTGCAAGTCAGTGTTATGAACGATGCCTTGAGCTGGATAAAGATTTGACCCTTGACCTTTTTCGATCAAAAGCGTTAACAGTTGACAAAGAGAACAAAGATTCCTGCAACCGACAGATGAGCCTTGCTCTTAATTTGTTGCAGAAACTGCTTCCGACGACTGGCGAATTGACACCATTTAGAGAATGCTGGTTTGGGTCATGTTTGCTGAAATTGGAACGTTATCATGAAGCTGTTGAACATTTTGAAAATATTATTAAAAGAGAAGATGACGAACCTGCTGTCTCAGTTATAGACTATACCGACGTAGACAAGCCGTTGTTCGACGTTTACCTTCATCGTGAAGTTGAAGTTAGAGGCAGTATTGCCATCCCAGTGAAAGTCCACGCTTTCTACGCGTTAATTTTAACGTATATGAAATTGAACGAAGTGGGAAAAGCCCAAGAAGTTGCGCTTCGATTGGAACATTATGTTGAACTTTTTCAATTTACTCCAGAGTATTCTCTGTTTCTGTCTACTGTAGGATATGCGAACAAAGTTATTGGAAACAAAGAAAAAGCCGCGGAGATATTTGTTTCTGTATTGGAAATCAACCCGGGACATTTACCGGTCACAGAAGCATTGGAAAGCCTTTGTGTGTAAGGCTGGACACGATGTGAATAACATAACTGTAAATAACGTGAATCGTGCTACCTTGCGACTAGGGCTGCTCCCAATTAATCCATTATTTTTTTCGCAATCGATTATAATTAAGAGCTAGAAGAATCTTTTGTATGCTACGTAACACGTACGCGCTCAAAACTAACTAATATACTTTATACTTTTGGATAGCGGCAAACAAACTTTCAAAGTATGTTTAGTGCTTATCTGTAAAATTATGCTAAAAATGAAGAGATTTCAGATGGTATGCCAAAGAGAAAATCATATCTAAAGTTCAGTAAGTTTTGCTTATAGTATAAATATGGCGTCAATTTTACAGCATCAATGATAATTGTATTTAAACTGACAATATTTAACTATTATTTTGTGTTTTGAACCGCCAGATACATTTAAAAAGGTTGCTAACTCTGTAAACTACAAAATAAAGCTAAAACAAAGTAATTTTGAGAGGAACGCCAAAACGATTTTAGGTTTCAAAAATGTTGCCTCGTAATAATAATCGGAATTAATAAACAACGCTGCTGCCTGCACAGCATGATAGATTCATCAGTATTTTCTTTCCGATAAATCCGACTTAGGTTTTTCAGATATTTAGTAGCGCTATAGCGCTCATGTTCGTTATCAGTCATTTTGTCCGCATAACTTTTAAAATTTCTTTTCATAGACGGTTTAATTAACTTTTGAAAATTGAAAAATCGCGTTACGTTGCGAAACCGGATATTCGAATTCGCTGTGTCTGGGTCTTTACAGCATCATTTCGAAGTTTCAGAACGTAAGCTAAACATCGTCATTGTTACTTGTGTGAACTCTCCGTGCGCGAGAAAGTGCGCAATTTATACCTTTGAGTAAACAAGGAGGCACATGTCAAATTTAAATGAATTAATCAAGACGACTAATCGATATTAATCTATTATGAAAATGAACCGATGGGAGCAGCTTTACTTGCGACGCGAATGTTTGAATTTAGGGGCGGACCATTAGGAAAGTGATTGGGGGGGGGGGGCAAAAGCAAAAATAAAAATCGAGCAGGGGGGAACAGAAAAAAATTCGTGCAGAGACTTTTCAATACGGAAAATTATAAGTTGACAGAGCCCCTCAGAGGTACAGTGTAAGGGTGGCCCCCAAATGTGGAAAATAAAAGAAAAATAATTTGGAACTTTTTTTTATATAAGTAATGGTGTGAGAAAAAATTTTCTAAACCTAAATGTAGCGGATATTAGTGCAAAAAAGCGTTTTAATTATGTTTTAAGAAGATTTTTTCAGGGAGAATGTGTTTTGGAACTGATGTTAGGAACTGATGTTAGGAACTGATGTTAGTCCGGAAAAATTTTTTTGACTCCTTTTTTCTCTTTGCCCAGAAAAAGTTTTGAACTCCGGAAAAAAAATTTTCACCTCCCCCCGAGCAAGGGATTATAAAAAGAAAAAATCGACACAGCAAAAAATTTTGAAAAAGTAATCGTGCACGTTGGAAATGGACCACCCCCTCCCCCCATCACTTTTCTAATGGTCCGTCCCTTATTGGTCCACAAGAACAGATGTAAAAACGCGCAATAGTCTTAAGTACTCGTCTGACAGCTACAACACCTGAAACAAACAGAACTTACATTTCGAACGCGTCGAGAAGAATTGGGATTGTTGTCAACGACTGGAACAGTCTACTTGTGGAACTTCGGGAAATAGAAAAATTTGCATCATTGAAAATTGAACCTAACAGAAACATTTGACACATTGATAAGACCCTCCACCGAAGTTACGGGACGCGATATAATTAATGCTGCGGGGCAAAGGGTGGGAATTTGACAAAAAGCTGAAATTTTGGGTAAAATTTCCTCGGTTGGGGAGACTAATATCAATCAAATCTATCAAAAAATCCCCACCTGTGGACAGAATAAACACTTTCCGTACTGAAAAACAATTATATTTATACAATATTATTGTCCAAACAACTATTTATTGGGTTTAATGCTTTAAGGCCCGGTCACACTACACAACGATAACGATACGATAAATTGTAAACACGCGATAATTGTCAAAAAAATTGTATTAGTGTCCACACAACAACGAAAATGGTAAAATTATCGTTAGACGATAACGACAACGATTTTAAAATCGCTCACCTGAGCGATTTCTTTTTCAGTCGGACGATAACGATAAATTTTTTACCAATCAGCGCGCGTATACAAGTTATCGTATCGTTGTGTAGTGTGACCTGGGCTTTACTGCTTCGTGTAGGACTTCAGAAATGTCGTCAAATGACCCCCCCCCGGAATAACATTGACTTTCAAATTCCTTACGGGGGGGGGGGGGATAAGCGCTCGAGTCAAATCTCCAGCCTTTGCCCGCATCAAAATTGTATTTTTAAAAATTCATAAACGTTGTGGCAAATCATGTCAGCCATCGTATGTCACTTGGAGTGACTTTATATCTGATAAAACTCATCTTCATTAGTATTCTTTATATAATTGGTAATCGTAATTAGTATGATTATATAATTGTTCATCCTAATTAGTATTCTTTTGTAGTCGTATTTTAAGCTATTCAAAACACGAGGAGTGCTCTATCATATCTAAAACGCTCGGCCGGCGCCTCGCTTTTTAAATATGATAAAACACTCCTTCTCGTGTTTTAAATACTAGTTATTAGTTACAATTACGTATTCAATATTGTAATAAATAATTATTGGATGAGGTTGTACGATACTGTTCAGTTAAATCGTAAGAATATCAGTATAATTAATTCTCCAGTAAAACATTTTTTTTGAGTTTTTGTTGCAGTTGTTGTTGTTGGATTTCTATTATTTTTGAACATTGTACATGTAACTAAGGTAGGTATTATTTAATTCAATTCAATTAAGAATTCGATAAAATTGATCTATTTTGGTGTTATGAAAATAAATCATGAATGTTCGTCGCCTCATGGTACGAAAAATTCCATCTTTCACCGAATGAAAATATTTTTATAATTTCACGAACGAAAACTTTCCTTACTTCAAAATATATTATAATTATATACTATATACACTCCAGGTGATCTCGTGTTCGTATTTTAGCCAATCAGCGCTCAGAAAGGGTTGTCCGAATAGAAATCCATTTTGATGTATTCAGTCAATTATATCTTTCGTTATTCTTTATGAAACTAGTTGAAATTTTGTAATTATGTTTAGTTATGAGAACTATGGCTCTAACAAAAATATGGAATCAAAATAAAGTATATTACAGGAGATATTCAGTTGTTTTAATCATAAAATGGATTTCTATTTGACAACTAGTGCCAGTACTTTTCCGCGTATCAAGATCACCTGGCTGGAGCGTACATATCGATTTTGGCAGGGGGGGGGGAGGAGGTGTCCCAAAATGAGACCGATCCATTACCTATTTGTGAATTAAAGACCGACTTATCCCTGATCAGCAGCAGATCAAGCCTGCAAACTGCCGTGGCAAAACTAGGGGGTCTTGGAATACGGTCCCCTGTAAATATTTTGAAATTTGAAAGTCGGGAATGCCATTCTCTGCATTCCATTTTTTCCTAAAATTTGTCCTCAGCGAACCCGTATTTCAGACAAAAAGAAATGAAGACCACCAACAAAATAGAGTACGATCATCTCCCGTGCTATTCGGCTTCCATGACCGAAACACATGGAACTCATGTCTGCGTTTCTGTAGGTTACCGAGCTTATTCCCTAGCTTTACATGCAATTAGCTGTCGGTAGACAATATATTATTTGAGGGGTACACATAATGAATAGTACTTTTAAAACGTCCATTCTGTCGGTTTCCATAAAAAACATTTTAGTTGGTGTCGCTTAGCAGTGCGTATATTTATACAACTCACAGTTGAACTGCATAATTTTCAGCTGGACTAGAGCCAACCTCGTACCCAGGACTTTCCTTGGGGGCGACCCCCCCCCCCCCCCCCCCCGCCCACACGCACACACACACTACATTCCCCTATAATATATACTATTCACTCCCCTATAATATAATATATACTATAATTCTATTTGAAAAATATTATTAACAAATGTTATGTTCTGGTATCCTATCTTTGGAAAGTGCAAGGACAGCTTGGAGCACATGCATGTTTAGGATGTTTACTGTATTCTGTAACTGTGTCTGTGCTGCACAATGTTAACTCATCTATATATATAAATCTTTTTTTGTAATTTTGTAAGGATTGCAATATATGGGCGGTCCATGTCTGGCCCCATATTTAACTTTGGAAAGTGCAAGGATGGTTTGGAACGCATTGGCCGTGTCTTGTAATTTTGTGTTGTAGCTTTGTTAAAGTTGTAACCTGTCCATTGTTTTACAATGTTAATGTAATATGTAGGTAGGACTTAATTTGGGACTCCACAGTCCTGTTGTCTGTACCTTCAATCGTTTTGTTGATTGTAAAGTTTATAAATTAAATTAAATAAATTAGCATAATATACGCACTCACGTGACTTCCTCCTTAATTAAGCCCCAGTCTCCCAATTATGCCGAAGGTGAGCGGTCACCGCAAGTCTAAAGTGGATTAGTCAACAACAAAAACAACAAGATGGACTTAACTTAGATTTTGATCGATTTTCGTCGCATTTTCTGAGAAAGAAGCAATAGCATACACTAAAATACACAATGTAGTTCTCTTCGATGATCTGCTTTCATCCTAGCTTCGATTTTGGAGCGAAACCGGTGCGATAAAGCCGGCCAAATGAGTGCACTGGAATTCGACTCAGGTTTGATATTTCGTTAAATTTTAATTTGTTGGCTTTTTGTAAACCGTTTAACGGCAGGAAAAGCCATGTGTTGGCTTAGTTAAACCGCAGTTAAAAGAAACTAGTGTAGTTTTGTTTTATTTTTCTTGTTTAGGGCTTGTTTCGACGTCTAAAACCGGTTGTACTAACAATATAAACGGTCGAAATCAAAATTCTGATAGCAAGGTGAAGACTTTAAAACCGCCAAGTGCTAAAGCAAACACAAATCACTCGAAAACCGAAGGTAAGACACAGTCGTAGTTAAATTTGGTAGTAAAACTCTAAAATATGTCTATTACAGTTTTAATTGTAATATAATTCGATGATTTAATTTTGAGCAGAATATTCTGGCATTTCCTGACCAAGTATATCTGTATGTAATATCTGGCTGCTATTGAATCTTAGGGGCTGTCTAATATATAGAAGCCGGGCTGGCCCGCTTAGTGAGACAGGTCGGTAAGCGAGATCTCGCTATATAGTTAGTTTTATGGTAAAAATTGATGTTCGTTTATATATAAGGACAAACGGATGGCCCAATTGCTGAGATCTCACTTGAAAGAGTCGTGCGATCTTGCTTACCAGGATGACTAGACAGCCGGGTATTTAGTAAACTGTCGGCAATATCGGGCAAAAAGTAGTCCGCTACAGTGGATATGGGCCGGACCACGTTTCACTTCGCACGCAATGTTACTGACCAGCCTCGCTGAACACAATCACAAAATCACAAGTTTTATATTACTAACCCATTGAGCCGCAATACGCCCCAGTGCGCCCTACTTATTTTTCTTACTTGTCTAACGCCAGAAGATTTTACTCGTCAGTGCAGAAACTCTGCAGCTTAATGGGTTAACCAAAAAATCTGACAATGTCTCTAGTTAACCCATTGAGCCCCCAGTGCACCCTACTTATTTTTCTTACTTGTCGAATCTCCAGAAGATTTTACTCGTCAATGGGGAAGCTCTGCAGCTTAATGGAATAATGGGCTAAACAAGAAATGTCCGCTGTTAAATGACCAGCAATTTACTAAACTGCCAGCTATCTATAGTCACAGATCATTAAAATTACCCTCCGTGGTATTATATTACTGCAAAAATTTATATTGTGTTGATATGAGATTGTAAAGAAAGTGTTGGTCCGCTTGGCAAAATTCTGTCAGACGGCAGGATGAAAACTTGTCCATAACGCCCAGTTGAAACGAGGATGATAATTTATGAGAGTTGCCAGTCGAGCTCTAACCACAAGTTTGTATTAGAGCGCTGCACCGAATTGCAGGTTCGATTCCTACCAGGGACCTATAGTTGTATTTTTCACAGAGCTCTGCTTCTCTATTTTTCACAGCTGTTTCTGTTTATGTCTAATAAATGTATATAAATTTCCACTTGATAATTTGTATCTACGAGACCCTTCAACTATTATTGAATCGAGCATGATGCCAACAAAATCTTCAGTTGATATTTAATTATGAGTACCATAATGGAAAACTAGTCGGCTATCGGTACGCAAGAATGTTCATCACTTTGTGACTAGCTCATTCATGGCTTTTGTCTATTTGCCAAGTCTTACCTTTGCAATAATTTGTGGCTAAGCTCGACTAGGGCTCGTTAAGTACTATTTATTATATAAAGTATAGTGCTTTATAGAGATTTCGAGCACTGATAAAAGTGATAATCTCACATGTGAGATTATTCATGATAATAGATAGCTTAAGATCTACGACGTCGACGGCAGCTAGGACGTCAGGGCTATGCAGAGGACTGGGACTAGGATATTGTTCTAATGTAGTCCCAGTCCTCTGCTTAGCCCTGACGTCCTAGCTGACGTCGACGTCGTAGATCTTAAGCTATCTAATCTCACATGTGAAAATGCTTTTCAAAGACTGTCCTTTATATAATAAACAGAAAAATACATGGGTGCTTGGGGATACCAGATTTATTTCTCATGTTGAACATGATATCTCACTCGTTCGCTGCGCTCACTCGTGAGATATCATGTCCAACACTCGAAATAAATCTGGTATTTCCAAGCACGCATGTATTATTCTCTATTTAAAACACAAATAGGAGTGCTTTATCAGATATAAAACACAAGAGCGGAGCTTGATTGTTTTACATCCGATAAAGCATGAGCTGCGAATGTTTTAAATGGCTTAAAAACCGACCCATCTGATGAGTTCGTTGGCGAAGTAATTTTAAAAATAAACGTTGTCCAAGCCGAAAAAATCAAAGCTAAAGTTTAGTAAATGAACATGATTTTTTATCACATATGAAACCACCGACACAGCAGTAATTTCTTTTTTATTTTCCTCATGAATTATTAATGCGTTTTAAAATATTATATAACTATTTAATGAAATAATTTGAACTTATTAAATATTATTGAGACGTTCTCTGAGCAAATTATGTTTAACCCATTGACTTGCATTGTGCCCTGATAACCCTACTTTATTATTTACTCTGTCTAACGACAGACGATTTTACGAGAGAGTGTTGCCGCTCAATGCATTAATGTATGTAACAATAAATAATTTTTAGTATTTGTAACGTGTTATTTATTTATATATTTAATATTCGCCCAAATCATTTCATAAAATTAGCAATTAAAATAGAAAATATTTACAATAGTAGGGCTAGGAACCTTCTAGAGACCATAAGGCCTTTATTTAAGGTCTCTACAATTTAAATTAATATAATATTAAAAGTTAATACCAGTCCAATTGTTTTCAAAGAAATTACGGTGATATATTTACACTAAGGAAGCACTTTCCATAAAGATATAATAGACTATAAGTATAACAACTTTGTGCCAAGAATTCTACTTATTTTAATTTGACAGAAGAAAATATTTTTTCATTGTTATTAGCGAGTGTGCTTTTTTATAATTTGTTCTAGTACAACTTTTGTGTGGCAATAATGCGTTTCCTGTGTTATAATTATGGATTACTTTGTTAGTTAAAAATATTTATTAAAAGGTTCTGGAAGATTTTGTAAATGAAAATATCAGAACATAAATAAACTTGTTAAAAAATCATTCAATTCATACAAGTGCTTTAGTGTTTTAAGTACTATTTAAAGCACGCGTAGGAGTGTTTTATCACATATAAAACACGACGCGTAGCGGAGTATTTTATATGTGATAAAACACGACTATACAAGTGCTTTAAATGGCTTAAAAAACGACTCATCTTATACGAGTTCATTGGCGAAGTAATTTTTAAAATAAACTTTGTCTAAACCGAGAAAACCAAAGCTAAAGTTTATGTAAATTAACATGATTTTTTATCACATATAAAACCACGACACGCTTATGATTTTTCTTTGTGTTTTGCTCCTGAATTATTAAAGAGTTTTTTTAAAGTCATTAAAACAGTATTTGAAGTACTATTTAAAACATGAGCAGCAGTGTCTTATCAGATATAAAGAGGCGAAGACGAGTATCTTTAGGTCTGATAAAACACGCACTGCGAATGTTTTAAATTGCTTCAAAAACGATCAATCTAGTAAGTTCATTGGCGAAGTAATTTTCAAAAAATACGTTGTGTTAGTCGAGAAAATTAAAGTTTATGTAAATCAAGACTGAGAAATCTCTATCACATATAAAGATACGACACGCTTATGATTTTTCTTTGTGTTTTCCTCGTGAATTATTAAGAGCAATTTTTTTCACTCTCACGTATTTGCAATGAAAAGTGTTCAAAACCTAAAATCTTTTTGGCGTTTCTCTCAAATTACTTTGTTTTAGCTTTATTCTCTAGTTTATAGAGTTAGCTACCTTTTTAAATACATCTGCCGGTTGAGAAACATAAAATAGTAGTTAAAAATTGTCAATTAAAATACAATTGTCAGTGATGCTTTAAAATTGACGCCATATATTTACATCCATTATAAGCATAACTAACTGAACTTCAGACATCATTTTCTCTTTGGCGTATAATCTAAAATCTCTTCATTTTGGCATTATTTTACAGATAAAGCACTAAACATACTTTTTAAGTTTGTTTGCCGATTGAGAAACGTATGGAAAAATAAAAATTTTGAATTTAGTCATAACCTCAAGTGATATATTATACGCATTAGTTTTGAACGCTTGGTACGTAACATACAAAAAAATCTCCTCTTAATGAGTTTGGGATTAAGGTCACGTAACTATTTATACTGTCGTATAGATTATTATCTATTTATAGATGAACTGCAAAAAATGCAGAACATCCGTACTAATTTGACGGAAACGACGTAAGATGGCGATCCGGGATTTGAGAAGTGAACTCGATGTTTCTAGATCAATGTTTTATGTTTGATTGTTATATAAATACTTGGATATTTCAGAATCAGGGTTAGAGGAGAATGTTTATTCATTGTCTGAAGGATTTACGAAGTGTACGCGATCGTATACTTGTCTGAAATTGTCACTTTTACACATAATTAAAACTGCTGATACATGATTAAAAAATAAACTCTTAAGATTATATATTAAACTCTATTACCGATTTGTCATATCTTGATTAGTTCTCGAAATATTTAGATCGAAATTAATGAGTTGTCCGCCGTCTTGGACTAATCCTTGACCTCATTAACTATGGTTTTGATGACGTCAGGAGTTGGGTTAACCATATAAAACTACTCTAAAATGACCGAGTAACAATCCTAAATTGTTTGAAATGTTTTTAATCATTTCAAAATTTCAGACAGCAACCAGAAACGAAGTTTTGGACCCATATTGATCGGTTACTCTCAAGATAAATAATTAGCGTGACCCCTCTCTTCACGTAACATGCATATCCTCAATAATCCAAGATGGCGAACAGCTCACTTTTTTCAGTCGAGATATTTTGAAAACTAAGAAAGATATGAATAATCTGTAATAGAGTTTAATATATAGTTTTAAGAGTTCTTTCAAATGAACTAAGCTAATTTTTTATTGCCATTGTCCTTTAATTTAAATAATAAAACTAGTTTCATATTAATCTGACACTGCAATCGAGCAACGAAAAATTCGTTGGCTCGAGCGGGATTTGAACTCGCATCTCCGGGTATCTAGACCGCCGCTCTACCTATTGAGCTCTCGAGTTAAGTCGTCACGAAAATATTTCGTGCACTTAAATTGGATAAGACTCGCTACCAATCCCTGTTGACTCGATAGCTCAATAGGTACAGCGGCGGTTTAGATACCCGAAGATGCGAGTTCAAATCCCGCTCGAGCCAACGAATTTTTCGTTCCTCGATTGCAGTGTCAGATTAATATGAAACTAGTTTTTCGTATCTCTGAGGATGGTTCTGAAATTAAACAAAAAATAAAATAGACTACCTTATTATTCGTGTATGTACATCGTAATTTAGCTTAGCTATTGAATGTGTAAAAAACCCACAATTCTTATAATGTTTTGTTCCTCGATTATAGATACTAAGTCTGCAGAAGGTGGCAAGCTTTTACGAGATAAACAAATCGAAGAACGAAAAAAGAAAAACGCGGAACGGAAAGCGGCCGTCGAGGACAGACGGAAGCAAAAAGAGCGCGAAGATCGTGCGAAACACGAAGCTCTGAGACATCTTTTAGATCATAAGCCCTCCTCCAAGACGACCGGTCGGAAATTACCCAACGTACCGAGCAATGGTACGGCTTTCCCCCGTCGGGAAACGTCGGCGACGCGAAGGCTATCTTCGAGTTCTAGCTCGAGCGAGGGGCACACGCCACCCGGATCGGGAAAAGGCACTCGGAATACGAGACGGAATTTAACCGGCCCTAGCTCGGCATCTACGTCTAGTTTGAACAGCTTCGGGAGCAATTTAGGCACTGGTAAGCCGAACGGTAACTTAGGGGTATTGAAGAAGACGAGTGTTAGTACAAATAATTTGAACGAAGGTGGGTTAGGTCATAAGGCGGGGCAACGGGCGAAAGACAAAGGGACGGAGGTAGGGGCCTCTGCTCGGAGAAGCGTCGGCAGCTCGATACCGAAGGCACAGTCGATGGGCGCAATACACCAGGTCGGGCATACCAAGCCGTCCCGGCCGACCGCGGGTAAGAAGGCGAAGCCAAAGGCGAAACCGACACATCACGCTGGAACGAGTAACGAAGCTGAGGCCGGCAGGGCCCTGGCTGAACATCGCAAGAAAATGCGGGAAGAGGCCGAAAGGAAGGCATTGTTGGATAAGGAAAAGCAAGAGGAATTACGAAGACAACGAGAGGAAGAAGAGAAACGTTTGGCTGAGGAGAATGGTAGGTTTTTAATGGCGGCTACTCGAACTAATCGCTACAAAAATTGTTTTATACTTTCAATATCAAATGAGTACTTAGAATAGTGAGGCAGGGTTCGTAGCGGTCTTTGAAATCCTTGAAAGTCTTTAAATTGGAATGTAGGTCTTTGAGGTCTTTGAAAAGTCTTTAAATTGTGTGAAAAAGCGAAGAAAGTCTTTAAAAGTCTTTGAATTCTTTAGTGAGTGTTTGATTATATGATTTCCTAGCTAATAAAATAGATTGAATGAAGCAAGATTTTCGCAAATATCGACGAAAAGGCCATTTTAGGATGTGATTTGACGGGACTAATTACTGGGTAACAATGGTGCTTACACTCGCAATTTTTCGACAGCTGATTGCCCTCAAAGGTCTTTGAAAAGTCTTTGAAAATAGGCAGAAAAAATCTTTGAAAGTCTTTGGATTTTTTTGGTCTTGGAGACTACGAACCCTGTGAGGATATACTATTCATTTTTAACGTTTTATATGTTTATGTGTATATGTTTATGCACAGCCTATCGAATGGAAGATGGCTGTGAAACTCATTAGAATAACAATGTAACTCATTATCTATATTAGTCAACGTTTATTCATAAATCTAGTCCTTCACCGTCATGTGTGTATTGTATTTTTGCTCAACTAACCAATAGCAATGTTTTAGGAAAGTTACCTATCCGTGACTCGAACAATAGGGTAAATTGGAAATTACTTATTGGTGGATTTGGCAAAAATACAATACACACGTGACGGTGAAGGACCAGATTTATGAATAAACGTTGACCAACATAGATAATGAGTTATATTGTTATTCTAATGAGTTTCACAGCCATCTTCCCTTCAAAAGGCCATGGTTTATGGGTGTCATTTATCTGTTTCAAAAACTCATTAATAATTCACGAGGAAAACACAAAGAAAAATCATAAGCGTGTCGTATCTTTATATGTGATAGAGATTTCCTTTGATTTACATAAACTTTAACTTTGATTTTCTCGACAACGTATTTTTTGAAAATTACTTCGCCAATGAACTTACTAGATCGATCGTTTTTGAAGCAATTTAAAACATTCGCAGTGCGTGTTTTATCAGACCTAAAGATACTCGACTTCGCCTCGTGTCTTTATATCTGATAGAACAATGCTGCTCATGTTTTAAATAGTACTTCAATATGTATCATTTGTAAATTTTACACATTCCAGCCATTGTAGGCTGCGATGTAAAATTCTATTAAACTATCTGTCTGCAGATGCTTGTGATGTTACTCTGAGTGTACATCGGGCAGGCTTGAAAAAATATGCCTGGCCACGGTGGGAATCGAACCTACGACCTTTGGAATACTAGCCCAATGCTATTCGAATCCAATTTCGATTCCCACCGTGGCCGGGCATATTTTTCAAGCCTGCCCGGTGTGGATGTACACTCAGAGTAACATCACAAGCATCTTATTCACCTGAGTACATTACACCAACACAGCAAATATCTGTCTGTATTTATTTTAGCGAAAGAAATGGCTAGACAAGCAGAGCTTGCCGTACAACTTCAAAAACAACAGGACGAACGCGCCAAACTGCTTCGAGAAGAGCGCGAGAAAGAGGCGGAAGTCGAAGCGGAGAAATTAGCGGAAGAATTAAAACACAAAGAGGAAATGGAAGTTTTAAAACGACAAGAAATGGAACGAAGGGCTGCAGAAGCCGAACGGCGCGAGAAAGAAGAGGAGGAGAGATTGCAAAGGGAGGAAATAGAACGGCAGGAAAGACGGAAGGTATAATGGCACGATTATGACCCAGGGGGCGGATCTAGGCTCATCTGCAAGGAGGGGTACCGGTTTTCCATGGGGTGGTGCATCTGGGAGCCTTACTGCCCACTCTCCTCTGCAGTCTGCAACGCTACTATCCCAACATTACCATTATTTGAGTTGGCCGAATCTGCATGTTCGCCGTTCTGTTACGTTTTACATTATCTTTTGTCTATAAAGTTTATATCAGATTTTTATCACGTATGCGTGACTGGACAGTACAGTAAATTTGCTTGTTAAAGTACAGTATATTTGAAAATATCGCTGTATAACAACCTCAACATGTTTGCATATTTAACCATGATACTTAACTAAAGCATTCTGAGTATTTTCACGTGAGCTCATAAATCAATTCGTTTCAAGAAATCGACACGCGCTAACAGTAGAAGTTCCGCTATTCGGAAAGTAGAAAACGTTTACGGACAAGCTGATTTAAAATCGCTTCAGCACATAATATGACGTGTATTGAATCATAATTATTGCGTAAAATTTTAGAGAGTTGAAATGATTATGAGCAGGACAAGAATGACATCGACTGTGAACAGTAACATGACGAAAGCTGAGAGTTATTCATCTTTAGAGGTATTATGACCATTTACACCCCAACATTTTTTCTTTATAAGAATCTAAGTCTCGTTAACTTTATTTATACTTGGTAAATCTTAGTCTCTAGATGTTCAGTAAGGATCATCTGTTAGAGGTGTCCAGTAAGGATCATATCTTATTGATCCAGTGTTGCTACACAAGGAAATCTAAACTAAACTATTAACTTTATTTATACTGGATAGCTCTATCAGTTCTAAACTGTTCTCCCTAGAGGTCCAGTAAGGATCATCTCTTATTGATCCAGTGTTACTACACAAGGAAACCTAAACTAAACTAACTTTATTTATACTGGATAGCTTTATCAGAAGTCCATTAAGGATCATCTCTTATTGATCCAGTGTTACTACAGGAAAAAGCTTAAACTAACTTTATTTATACTCGATAGCTCTATCAGTTCTAAACTGTTCTTCCTAGAGGTTCAGTAAGGATCATCTCTTATTGATCCAGTGTTACTGCAGGAGGAAACCTGAACTAAACTAACTTTATTTATACTGGATAGCTCTATCAGTTCTAAACTGTTCTTCCTAGAGGTCCGGTAAGGATCATCTCTTATTGATCCAGTGTTACTACAAGAGGAAACCTAAACTAAACTAACTTTATTTATACTGGATAGCTCTATCAGTTCTAAACTGTTCTCCCTAGAGGTCCAGTAAAGAACATCTCTTATTGATGCAGTGTTACTACAGGAAGAAACCTAATCCAAACTAACTCTATTTATACTAGATACCTCTATCAGTTCTAAACTGTTCTCCCTAGAGGTCCAGTAAAGAACATCTCTTATTGATGCAGTGTTACTACAGGAAGAAACCTAATCTAAACTAACTTTATTTATACTAGATACCTCTATCAGTTCTGAACTGTGCTAAAATGCCTTGCCCATTACAATATAAGCACATTGGGATTTTTTTCTCTGTTAGGACCTCTCCACGAAATTATCAGATGAATGTCATTCAAGTACAGTATCAGAAATCTTACAAAAAGTCAAGGAAAAATCGCGGGCCAGTCCTAGCCCGGAGAAAGACATTGATCTACAAAAGGAGAACCAACAATTGCTTGAAAATTTAGGAAAAGATTCATTGGATGGTAAAAATGAAATCTCAAATGATGTGCTTCGGCCAATTGACAATTCTAGTAAGTTACAATTGAATTAGAATTCTTAGAGCGCTGCAGCGAAATCGCAGGGCGTTGGTTTAATTCCTACCAGAGTGTCTGTAGTTGCATTCTCTAGTAAATTTATAAAATTTAGTAGACGTAGTAAATTTCCATCTACCAAAATCTCTACAATTCTACAGATGGGGCTTCGGTGGCGAAGTAGTTAGCGCACTTGCCTTTCACCTCTAAGGTCGCAGGTTCGAATCTCAATGAGGACTTCTCATTGTGACTGGAACCCAGTCCTAATGTGAAAAGAGTAAGTCAAAGCTCTGCCGAAAGTCGTGGGTTTTCACCGGGTACTCCGTGTTTCCTCCCACAGGGAAAGTTGACAGGGTGAGTTAGGCACATAAGGTCTGGAGGCAGATCATTAATGAGGTATGGACTAATAGCGGCAGCTCAAGCGCCATTTGTAAGCTCAAAGTCTACCTCGGTCTGCTTCACGTCAGTCCGTTTGATCTATCTAATCATTATGTAAAACTTCTGCAATTCAGTGTGTGTTGCCATGGAAGTTCAAATATACTATCTACCTTAAAATATCGGTCAGAGAAACGTCTCTCTTAAATTCGAGTTTCGGTCGAACATTTGTATTGTAATATCCGATGACTTTGAGTTCAGTTTGGCTTGGAAATAAGTATGAATACAGACGCAAATTAATATCAGTACAATTTGGAAAAGTCTCTTGAATCTTGGCAATGAATTTCCGAAATTCGCGGTGAAAATCCCGCACTTGATTAAACATTTCCAGTTCACTTTTTATACATTACTCTGATTGTCCATTTAACATACGAGCCTTTAGTCCTGGACTAGAGTACATTTTGATTTACATCGGATAAAGTTACAGTTAGGTCGGGCACCGATTCACTTGGGTCAGACAAACAATAAACTTAAGTTTTACTTAAGTCTAGTGGTTTCGTCTCGGCGTCGGACAATTTTACGAATGGGTTTGGACAATGTCTGCGTCCGGACCGATATTTTAATGGCTGATTCTATAGTAAGTTTGCTTTAGTACTTATATTTAAACTCTATTATATAGGTACTGATTTTGGACTCTAAATTATCTTC